ACTATGAAGGAATGACCAAAATGATACTGACATGATTTTCCTTTTCCTATAAGTGTATTTAATTAATGAGGTTTGTTTAAAGTTTGAAACCTGTAGTTTTCACAACAGTTAATACTAATTAATAGTTAACAGTTAATGGGCTAATACTTTTGGAATACAAAAATTATGTTAAAAGCCACTAATAATGTTGACAATTACCACAGATAAGAGAGGCCTCTTCACCGTCAAGGCCACAGGCTGAACAGAGTCTGCCACAGAGAAAGGCCAGGAGCTGGGGTGGGGGGATGGAGAGGGAGAGAAAGAGAGAGAGTACTTGTTCTATTTAATATGTACAACTGCAGTGTTCAAAACCTCAACTTCTTTGTAACATTATATTAATGTTCATACTTCACAAACTTCTAATCCCATTTTTCAGGCATTGGTTTGCCTAAATAATCAGATATTCCATGAATCTAACATGATCTGTGTCATGTTACAGTACCAAGAAAAAGCATTCTGAGAAAGAGGAGGGGCCAAGACATGCTCAATGGCTTTGCACTTGCAGCAACTGCAGTGAGCAAACTTGTGTTACTGTCCAGTCACAGCTTCACACTGTGTGATTAACTGGTGGTCAGGCGGATGTGAGCTGCTTTGGGGCAGCTTAGCAAGGACCTGGCAGTTGTCCTAGGACAGCTCGGCACCTAATCACCTAAGCTCTTACACGACGGACCTTACCTAAGCATGGTCAAACTGAGCAGCCATACTGGGCTTACTAAAGCTCAGAACACAGAGACAACCTTAATGCAGCAAATCAAAACTTGGCCATTACAAGCTCTTTGATAAAAACTATACTGCTTGCCACTATGTATAATTACGATACTAGAGAGCAAGGGTGGGCAATGTGACAATACTGTATTATTATCATGATAATGTTATCATGGTAAATTTTCTGAGTACATCAGTACTTTAAGAAGACAGAACAACTTCACATATCCTAAAGACAAATTACTCAGAGCCTATAAACAACAATGAGTTTATAGTAACTGCATAATCTGCATAGAAACTGTAACAGCATAATCTGCTTTTGATTTTTCCTTCTGTTCCATCTTAACCTATTTTTGCAATCACTTATTTTTACACTATGTAATATTTGGAGACCTCTCTGGTGGAATAGTATAACTGCATGCAACATGAGGAAGAGCATTTGCGCTTCGAACTCCTTCCCTGAGTAGATGAATTTGATGATCTTCTGAGAATATAAGTGAATTTTTCACAACTGTGATCATATTTTCCATCAGTATTATGCTGATCTTATATTTGAGACCAAAATATCGAGTCACACCTTTCTTTTTGAGCCTTTTCATGTTATATTAAGACATATTAAAACTCCTGTTAAATCTGACCTGGCACCTTTGACTTTTCAATGACTGTTTCAGGCTTTACATAGTGACTCACAGCAGCACACCATATTTTATTTTTTTTTTCTCCTGACTCAATAACGCTACTTTTTTCGATTCAATTTTCCAAAATTTCATATCAATTTCTTTAATATCAATTTCTAAAATATTTTCTTATGAAGAACAGATGCAGTGATCATCATCAACAATGTCACTTACCTAAACTTGAGGAGGCCTGCACGGCCGTTAGTGGTGTCCTCCTCTGGGAAGAGCAATAAAGGCAGTGCTCCAGGAGCTGAGCAGTACCCATGCAGGGTCTCTGCTAGCTCTGTTCTGCTCCCTGCCACAGTACCCAGCTCCATAAAGCCCCGTGCCCAACACACAAACCCTGAAGAGCCTTCCAGCAATGGCTGGAAAACAAGAATTAGAAGACTTAGGACAGAGTTCTTTTCAATGAAGCATTATTTCAGACTTCTATTCATCACATAAATGGCCCAAGAGCTTTGATAAAGGTTGGGAAATGCAAGTCAGAGCATACATTTTGCCCATTGATAATCACTCAGGAATTTTGAGAATGGCTTAGTTTTTTAAACCATTTTTTATCTCCAGTTAATAGATTTGGTAATCGTTAGCATAACATTAAAAAGTAATGCTAATTGTAAATGTAACTATTTTGCAGTCTCTTCCATACTAGTCAAGTAAACTCTCTGATATGCAGAAAAAAAAAAAACGACTCAAAGTCATTGGACACTAGCCTAACATTAAGTCACCACAGCTGCAAAGTGACTAATGGGCCTCATTGTGATGACAACAATTGAGTAAATCAATACTGCCTTGACACAAACTCAAAAGACAAGGAAGCACAACAGCAACTGAAAAGAAAGATTCTATTATGTTAACAAATCATCGCTGTAGATATACCAGCGCACACGTGCACACACCTACGGATGCAGGCACATGCACACACACATACACAGAGTACACTCACAGTGTTGCAGGAGGTAAGGAGGTTAATAATGTTGTGGTCGAACTGAGTGACATGATTGCAGACATACAACTTGACACTTTTGTCTCTTAAGCGAGGGCTGTTCTGTCTTATATGCAGACCTAGTACAGAGCACATGACTCGTACGATGAATCTGAAACAGAAGGAAAGACACAAGCCACTCAGGTAAGTTAGCATTCAATATTGTCATGATATTCAAAATATTATTGAAGTACAACTGTGGTGTGCCATAATATAAACATAATTCCTGTAAAAGCACATGCTCCTATACATCTTAACTCTTGATGCTAAAAGAAATAATAAAAAAATATTTTTTATGTACCACATAGACCTCCCTGTAGACTGATTTTGTGTAATGAAATACTTGCCAAAACCCAGTTCTAAACACGAATAAATAACCATACTGGACCTACAATAAAGCTGAATACACATACAATTTAAAGGAAAAACTCAAATCAATGCATGGAGAAACATAATGAGTGCAGATGCTTGCAGACAGGTGCATTGCATGATGCAATTAAGCAGCTAACATCCCACCATTAACATTATGTACATCATATGCTATGGTCTTCACGTAGAAACTATACCAGTGCACTGAAGCTATTCAGGTGCAACACCTTACCAAGACAATTTGTCACCTGTCTCCTTGCCTCCTTTCTAGATTCTGACTGTACTTGCACTAAGACACTAAGCCTCAGAGGTTTATGGTCTTTAATCATTACTTTTAATTGTCTTTGTTAAAAAAATGTGTATACTTCTCTACTTACCTTCTTATAAAACTGTCTGGAAGTGCACAGCTCACTAGAAACACATGGACACCAATAAATATTCGTAGCAACATCAAACAAAGGCCTACTGGGGAATACAGCAGCAGCAGCAGCAGGATCAGACCGTCACTTGGCAACCTGCAAATATAGAACACTTCAGTCATGAACTAAAATGGAACTGATTTTTATAGTTACATCTCTTTATGGAGAACATAGCTCACTTGTGACTATAAGAGTTATAATTACAAATGACAGCTGAAAAAGAATGTGAAACTAAAAGATTCGCTGCATGTCAGTTACTGTCTTTCTGACAGTAACTGACATGCAGATATTTTATAGTCTGTCTTTCGTGCTGTGTCCATAGAACAGTTCTTGTTCTGGCTGTGTTGTTGGTCAAGCTGGTTCTTAAATGACACACTATCTGTATACTAAGAATACTGTCATACAGGCTGCAGTAACAGAACACATACATGCCTGGCCAGAGTGTACCAGATTTTTTTTGTCCCAGAAGGAGGCCCCTGCAAATAATCCCATCCCTGAACTGGACTGATTTCATAAAACAGTACAAACAGAACCTGTACCGGATAGCTTATTATTAACTCAGGTCGTTATTAAACCCCGTCATTGTGCTGCTGACGTTTAACTGAGCAGAGACTATGCAGCAATATGAAACAACTACTTACATCGCTTATTACTATATTGTTAACTGGCAATAAAAGCTTTGGCCAAATAGGACACTCAACCAGAAGTCAGTACGGAAAAACACATGGTTAGCTAGCTAGGTGGAAGCCAGCTTTAATAATAAGTAGGCAATGAAGAGATCGATGTAATTGTGTGCTGCGAGGGTTTAAACTAAAGGTTTAAGCATATCCAGCACTGCCACATAGCTAGTTAGCTAGCTAACATGGCTAGCAAACCTGTACAGTTTACTAAGCAGGCAACATGTTTAAGACGTTTAAGAATAATAATGCCCCCCTGAATTGAAAAGCATTCTCTTGATATTTCTTAATAGGTAACTTACTAGTTAACCTAGCTGACAAACGTTATTCAGATAAATTTTGTGATGAATAGCTACTAGCCAGGGAATCTTTAAACTGGTACGTTAGGTTAGCTAGTTTCGAAATGAGGGAACCTGAGCTAGGTTCGCTTGCTAGGTAGTTAGCTAAGCTACATCTGTTAATGTGCAAACTGACAGAACCAAAATGACCGCTGTGGTTACCCATGAGGTGTTTTGTTGGCCTTAGATTTAGCCAGTATGTAAACAAGACACAGTAACAACAGGTTAAGTGGAATATACGCCTAGCCGGCTTGCTGTCATCGCTCAGTCTCCTCTAATCCACTAAGTTACTAGGTTAACTAGCTCACTGACTGAGACAAGCTAGCTAGTTAACCTAACTAATAGCAAAATTAGCGCTGATGGTAAAAGTGAATCTTACCGCTGGAAGTCAAACATCTGCTCTATGCCCCGTGTTTCCATTATGCAAGTTTTCTGTACGCTTCTGTCACTATGGGCCAGTTAGTTTCCTGCATACTATTCTACAAGGTGCTAAAACTTGTTGTTAGATTGTTTCGCTAGCTTGTTAGCTTGTATTATTTATCTGCAATACCTCCGTCGCCATATTGAAATCTTGATTTTCAGAAAGCTACCGATGTAGGTTTGCCCTTTACACGGACGTGGGACCAGCTCTGCATAACCAACTCCGGTTTCAGCCACTGCGGGAGAAATTTGAAACTGTTCCCAGATCAGCGCAGAGGCGCAAGTTCAACGGTGCCTTGGTTTTCCGAAGGACAGCTCAGGCTTTTTTGAAGCATGTCTTTCTTTTTAAAGAGCGACATCTAGTGTTAAGGAGTGCGTCCAACAGTTTCAAAATAAACGTCCTTATGTACAATAGCGTGTTGCTTTTCAGTTGGATTCTAGTATGAAAAAATACAATTTTTATTTGTGGAAACACTTTTCATTTTTGCATAATGAACTCAAGGTAAGCATAGCTATTGACAGTATCTATTGTGAGAGTCGCTCCACACTGTAACGTCAGCTGAAGATAAATATGCTCAGCTTCCTTCGCCACACTTGGAGACATAATCTAATCAATTTGACTGCTTATACTAGGATATTTCAAAACCTTTTGAGTAGACATACTATAAAACAGACAGCCTCAAACACCGGTTTGTTGCGTGAAATAATGGACAATGTTAAGCCATAATCAGCTGAACCACTGTCACTGGATTAGCTTTGGGGTTGCTAACAAACTGTGCAGTGATTTCAAATAAACATTAGAATTTTATAAGATTTGGCCCGGGAAATCCAGGATGTCACTACAACAAACAGAATAGTGTGGCATCACCAAAAGGCTTGTTGGTCTTATTTTATTTATTTATTTTTTCAAGAATTATTTGAAGTGCATTATTTTGACTGATAGCACACTGTCAGCTTTCACACGCTAGAGGGCACAATTATCTTTCATATCTCCTGAACTATGTCTTCCTCTATCTCATAAAAAACATAATGACAGCTTTATAATTTCTGTTAAAAATACATATGAGGAAGAAAACGTGAGACGTAATGTCTCAAAATAATTCCCTGTTGAAAATGTTGGAAAAAATATTAATAATTTGTTTCCCTGCAGTGGGTATGCAAATCAGTGCTGTAATACTTACACATGAATCATCCTTATACTGTAAAAAATGCAGCTTTTAAACTTAAAAAAGTAAGTAACCAGGTAAACTTGATATGTTGAGTTCATTGAATGTGTAAGTTAAAGTTACCAGAAGAATAATTAGTGTTTTACATTACAAGTTGAGTGAACTCAAACTTTCAAGTTAACCCAGTTACCTGTTTAAATTTAAAAGCTGCATATTTTTTTACTTTGTAATTAGATACATATAATTGAGGCCTTCATAAGGAAAACTAATAACGGTTGCAAAGTAGAAATGAACAAGGGAGCTATGAAGGCCCACAGCTCTCTTTTTAAGGGAGCAAGCCCTACAATATAAGTCCATCTCTTTTCCTCTCACACTGATAAATAACAGTGGTGCTTCTTCAGCACAGTACATTCGCCTCCAGCTGCATCTCCCCAATATGTCTCTGCAGCAAGAGATTGAATCTGCCCCATTCATTAGCCTAAGTGGATGAGCCTCCCTAATAGAGGCTCCCCTTCCCCTCAATAATTGCCGTTGATTGGCGCAAATTAGACCCTAGTTGCCAGACGAGTGATTCTCGACGACGATAATCCGATTCCCAACTCAAACTAATAGGATTTTAACTCCAGCTTGGCCTAATGTCCGTCTGTACGGCCTGGCCCTGCTCCGCTAGCCCAACACTGCCCCTCTGCCCTTCTGCCTCTCACTGCAGTGTGGTACAGAGCAAGCAGACTGACTGAATTCAAGTCTTCAGGTGAATACATACATACTCTGTGTTAATAGGATAAGAATGTCTCAGCAGGATTGTGTTGTAAAGTTGAGTGAAAGATAGGTAGAGAGGACTATTTGTTTTAAAAGGCCTTGTGTATGGGAAATTATTCTAACTGACTTTAGAGGGATTTTGTAATCTTTGTCTACACACAGACTATTGTGCTTTTGATATTTAGTATAGTTACAGTCTGTGAACAGACGCTGAAATAGCCAGATTCAATATCAGATGTGGTTCTTCACCTTGTCCTCCAGTCATTGTGGAGTGGTAATTATTATCGCAATTGTTACAGTTATTGTTGTGTAATACTGACAATAAGATTAAAGACTGAATCTGAGATTCTGAACGTTTGAATTAGTTCTATTCATTTAACTCCAATCAGCATATTTTGTATAAATGCATTGCTTGATGGCACAAAAACACTTTCATAAAGAATTCAGAGCTTTTTCAAACGTGACCCAAATGACGACTCACGCATATTTGATAGTATTTGTCATTGGGATGATAAGAGGAGATGGGATGGCTGCTTAGACCCTGAGTCTAATGAAACTCCACTCCATTAGAGCTGAATCGGACAGATTGCCCTCCCAGAGAAATGAATTGAGTTTTTTGTATTTGTGAGATCATTCTCCCTCCATTAACTGCTCTTTATCCCGTCTCTTCATCACAGCCAAATCAGGTTAGACGGCCATGATTAGCTGGGGTGGCCTCCCTTTTTAAGCAGTAATTGGGTTTGGCGGCTCAGCTGATAGCACCATTAAGACCAATAAAGGCTGGGCTTGGCTTGGAGAGTGAAACAGATTCTTGTGGAACAGATGGCAGGCGAAGAGAAAGGGGTTTGATCGAGAGCGGACGAAAGCAAAGTTTGTGTAACTGTAGAACTTTGGTGCTGGGCTGTGGCCATGCCTGGGAGACGGTGTTTATGTACGTTTGGTCTTTGTTTTTGTTTGTCCTTGATATAAGCAGCACCGGTAAAGTCATTCATAATAACAGAACTGAAAATCCATTATTCTCAGTGATTGACAAAGAGACATAAAAACATGGATGGATGAATGCATAGATTAGATGCAAGGATAATAAATGCATGGAAAAAATAATGGATGCATAGAGACATGTAGCCTATATTGATAGAGAGATGTATTGACAGGACAGTTAGGAGGATCTAAACAGCCCACTGGAGTCCAATAATGGTGTGTTTCCTTCTTGATGATGCTCATCTATGCTCACTCTCCTGGATTAAATGCTTTAATTTAATTTCATCTACTTTCTAATTGGCCATATTTCTACTCATCACTATTAACAATGGAAAATACTTAATCTATTATTTTGACTGACTGTTATACCCAGGGTGGCATACGTCCTTGGAAAAACAAATATTTAGAAAAAGTAGCAATTTCTATATTTATGAAATCACAAATTCAATCAATCATTTATTGTCAAATGATCAGTCATCAAATTTTATGATTTGCAGCTCCCCAGTTATGCTTAATGAGTCTGCAGACAGCTCATGATGCTTTATTACACCCCTTTAAAGAATTACTGCAAAAAAGAGATGGATGATGTCAATATTTTTAATATATTGCAAATTATGTATGTTTTTCTTTCTTCCTATTCTAAGGGACACTCCAAAATGAGCAATTTAACCATCATCCATTGGAAACATGCCGGAGATTTTCCAGTTTAAAGCCTAGGAAACTCCCTTCTGATGATGCATCTTGAAGGTGGGTAAAACGTTTGAAAAACTACAGCTCCTCTGGGGTGGATTTTTGTGGGTGGCTGTTATTTCTTTTTCTTTTATTGTAATTATTTTCGGTACCTGCTGAATGCAAAAGCAAGGAAGGCCGAACAGCTAGCGTTACTGCTAGGAAGTTAACTTATTGCATTATTGAATTGAATATCTTATTGCAGCCATATAAAGGTAGTAACTGCCTTCATATCTTCATTACTGTGGAGAGAATGGATTAATCAAACAACTAAAATAACTCATCAGAAGCTAAAAGCTAAAGTTAGCATGATTACTTGGCTGTCTAGATAACTTTACCATTTTTGCTTCTTATCTCTGACTGAAAGGGTAAAAACTGATCATTTTTGTTCTGAATAAAGATAGAATCACTGTTTTCTTAATGACTTTGTTAGACAACTGAAGTAAGAGTTATGTCATGGTTGTATCTATTAGCTTATAGAACAGTGGCTGGGCTAGCATTCAGGTTTGGTTGACGCTGCAGGGATTACCAGTGATTGTATATGATGTGTTTGTGTAATGCATGCGAGGTACTGTAGAAAGAGAACATTGACAAACGAAAACATAAAAACGATATAAAATCGTGAATTTTGTCAAATCAATGAGGCTATATGAGGGATATAACGCTAAGCTACAAAATACTGTATAGCATGACAAATAACACATTAAACTGTAGTTTAGACCGGAATGCCCTTTTAAATGTGTCCGGATTTGTTCTGTCAAAACATCTGTGAGTAGAAGCTAAAGTTGCAAAAACAAAACTAATGAAGTGAACTGCAGAACCCACACAGAGCTACATAACCATGAAGCAGATGGATGTTTTTGCTACTGCTTTTCACCACTGCCTACACGCACACACACAGTTTCCTTATCTAGGGGAACAGAATGCTGTGTAAGAATTGTATAATGGCTGTAAAGAGCTGTATATCTTCCCCAAGCCTCATTAGGATGAAGTGGAGTGCTTATTTTATTTATTTATTTAACAGTGTTTCATGGTACAGCTTTTCCCGCTCAAACCCTTCCCAGGGGGGCAAATAATGAGAGAGCACTTCAAATGAATTACTGTATACACAATCACTTTAATTATTCAGTTCTATCTAGGCATTGGGTGTGACTGTTGGGAAATACCATGCACGCTGCCCAGATCTACCTGTTATATAGTGATATGATTAATGTAACAGTATGATGAATGATGCACTTAAAACATCCTGCATCGACAGTTATGTGCAGATTAGCAGCAATATCATACTGAGCGGTTTGCCAAAAGGATCCAGGCCGAATCCCCAAACCTAGGCTAATGCTGTGAGGCTAATGTCGATAACAAGAAATAGCTGCAGTTTAAATCAATTTCAAAGGAATATAACAGTGTGCATTGTGCATAATAATAACTAATGGCTGAAATGGTTTGGAGAGTTACTAGAAAATTATGATCTATTTCAAATAAAGTTGCTGAATAAGAGAACGGCAGGCAAACACATCCTCCCTGAAGTGCCGTGCAGCGTTTTTACTTATTGTTCCACTGAACTACATCTGTCTCTTAACACACGAATGGGCTCTAAAAGCTCAAATTATATGCTTAAATTTACAAATAGTAGGTTTTGATTTGTATTTTCATTGAGCTATTGCAAGTAGCGCAACTGCTAGGGGAGCAGAGGGGCACAATCAGATTTGGGCCCCTTGGTAACTGGGCCCCCTAAAATCTTTATTGGCCACCTCACATAGATACTGAGATAACAGGTAGTCTAATGTAACCATTTAGCTTGTTTAATACATAACAATTGGAAGTAAACAAACAAATTACATTGTCATTTTTATTCACTGACAGCCTATTTCTGTATTTTTATGCCATTTTTTTTGTTTTTGCACTGGGGCCCATTAGACCCTAGTTATGCCACTGGCTATTGCCACTGCTGTATGTCAATAATAAGAGATTTTATTCCAAGTAATTTTGCTTCATTTCCATTGGTCTGTGCATCATGAAACGGTGGCTGGCCTTTTCAAATTGTGGGAAAAAAAGAAAAAAAAAGACAGTTTTGATATGACAGTGACAATAAAAATGCATTTCCAGTTGTTTTTCAATTTTTATTTTTTTACATCATTTGAGCCCAGCAGCTGTCCTTCAAATTGTGGCAAAATGTCATAACGAATGGACCAGTAGCAATGCTCCAGAATTACTTGGGAAAAAGTATTATTACATTAACTCACATTAAAAGTAAAGAATGTTTTTATTTTTTCCTAAAGTGTTTCTGACTACCAGAAAGCAATTGTGGAGTCATTTAGTGTTTTTAAATCTGCTAGGAAAAGCTATCATTCTCTCATGAATTATTTTCTCATTTCCCATAAATTAAAACATGGAAATGCTTTACTCGTATAAATCGCTCTGAAAACAATTACGTTCATCCTCCAGTACAGTGGTTACAGCATTTATGTCATCATAAGGCAGAGTGAAAAATACCTAGAGTTAGGTTTATTTTTCCCTGTATGTGCTACCCACAGGACAGTTGCAGTTGCAGCCTGGCCTCATGGTTTTACAAGCATTTGCTCCATCTGTGACCTCCCCTCTGTGACATTGTTATAAAAGAATTGAATTTGTGGAGGCTCCGCGACGACTGTAAGGCTGCTCCTCCTATTTGCCTCCTTGTATATTGCTTTTATAAGAGGCAAGAGGGAGAGATACTTGAGAGAGAGAGAGAGAGAGAGAGAGAGAGAGAGAGAGAGAGATAGAGAGAGAGAGAGAGAGATGACAGAGGAAGGAGGAGATGGGATGATGCCATAGATCTTCATAGCTCTGACATCGGCTGTCCATTTGAAAATGAATCAGGCTCGCTTCCATTATAGAGGACATTTACAACTATGTTACTGAAACCATTTATAGTATGTAAAAGATAATAAATGAATAATAATAATGAGTTTAGAGGTTTTGTGCATGAAAATTGCAGACATATTGTGATACAGTGATTGAGATCCAGTGAGATTTAGACCAGCACATTTTACATGCAGTAGTTTTATTTATGTTGACATCTTCATTCCACTTAAAAGCATACAATGCCTTTAGTAATAAACAGTGATAACGTGTAGCTGCGAAGGACGACATATGGACAGTGTTTCCTTATGTCTGCCTAAAAAACACCAAAGGATTACCACAACAATGGCTTTTACCTAAACATCTTTTAAATAAACCAAAATATAGTTTTTATTTTAATTATTCTATTTTGATATTTAGGTCTGTATATGAAGTATTGTACATGCAGTGTGACAGAATGTTACTTTTATTCATCAGTAGAAGACAGCTTGACCAGCAAGCAGAAGATAAGCTGCCTTTTGTTGCCTTGTTTTCAAGATGTTGAAAAGTGCAAACAGCTGTTGAGCATTTGAGCATTTGAATGCTTTACAGCAAGAGAGGCCTAACTGAGGCAAGAGTCAGTCTCTTATCACTAATAATGCAGATCCCTTTTTAATAAGAAGAGATCTTTTGTTTTTGAGCAGGAAAAAACAACCAGAACGGTCAACGTTAAGAGGTACTTTAGCATTTTAGTTACTCTTTATATTTATGCAAATAAATTAGTGGCACATGCTTGCATAACTTTTCTGTAAAGAAGAGCATAAATTCTTTGTTTCTTCCTGTGTAAATAAATAAGTTGTCTGTTCTCATAAGTTACCTGATTTGTTCTGACCTTATCATCTTGTTAATGAATACTCCTAATTATATTTAGTAATAACTAATAATACTAACCCATGACTCTGTGCTACCTGCAGCTTTTCTAGCAATGCATTGAAATAACCCATTCATTCCAGAGCTCCATTGAGATGGCCCAAAGCAATTAGCTCCACTAAGACCAACTCATTAGGAGGCATGCGCTGAATGAGCTCTGCTCACTGCAGCTAATCAATATTAATGATGGATTATTTACAATTAACAATGGGCCCTTAATGGCCCCGTAATTGTTTGTTTTGCTCTAACATGGAGAGGTGAGAATTGCAGGTAGAATGGAGAGATTAGTGAGAGGTGGGCTAAATGTGTTCTCAATTACTCTAGCCTATAGACACTATTCAGTGCTGTTCAGAGGAGGCAACACGTCTCAGGCTACTTTGTGGGCTCAGGCTACTGGCTATTTAGGCCACACTTTATATTTGTTAGAATACCTCAAACTAAACAAGTGGAAAAGAACTAGCCCAAAGTGCTTTTAAGTTGAAAACATTCATCAGAAAGAATGTTATGATTCACTGTGCCTGCTTTTTTTTTAAATAATCGCTAGTGCAGCACAAATCAAATGATCTCTCATCAAAGAAAATGAGCACAGGTCATGGCAAGACTCTGCAACATAGTCATGTTTTACTAGCCCATTTGAACCTGAAAACCCCCCTCAGGGCCTGCAAGTAACCGGGCCATTGCTGGGACCAGGTGTGTAGGGGCTGAATTTATGACCTTTCCTGCTGACTGCAACATTTGGGTTGGACCAGCGCCCATGCACACCCTCCCCCTTCCCCCCACAAACAGAAGATTATGATTGGCTCTTGGTAGGTTTCTGATCACACCTTTCTCACACCTTCAGGGAGCACCCTACAATTTAAGAGGGGTCCGTCGCCTTTTGTGTTTTCTCCTTTGTACCTTTCTTTAGCCCTCTTTCTTGTCCGGGCAGCAAGTACCGACAGACGTCTCTCCACTCTGTTTATAGGGTGAGTTTAGGTTGGAAGAGTGAAGGCAGATAAGCTGCTTTACCTTAGCTTGCAGGAATCCTCTGGCCAACTTTTAACACCAGTGCTCTGGGACTTGCAGGCCTACAGCCTGCTAAGGATCACTCATCTCTGTCAAGAGTTTGTCCGACAGACTGCGTTCTGCAGGAGATGAAAGGCTCTCCTGCTGTTTGAGTCGCAGGGAGGATCTCCAAATCACTCACTCGCTTGAGTAAAAAGGAGTCATCTTGTTTGTCAACAAGCGTAACCAAGGGAACAGAGAATGGTGTGTTTGACAGCAATGCTAACGCTGCTGCTGGCTTGCCTCTCTGAGCCTCTTCCATTGGAGCACCTCAGGCACTTAGACTGGCAGCGGGGCATGAGGCCGGGTGAGCAGTGCCCAAAAAAGTGCCAGCCCGAGCTGTGTCCGGATGCCAGGCTGCTCCAGAGCTGCGTGTCGGGTCAGGTCCGTGACCCGTGCGGGTGTTGTTGGGAATGTGGGAATGGAGAGGGTCAGCTGTGTGACCCCGAGCCCTGGACCGGGTCCACTTTCTTTGGGCGTTGCGCTGAGGGACTCCGCTGTAAAGCGCCAAGGAGGGACTCCTCAATGAAAGAAGAACCCAAGCCAGTGTGTGTGTGCACCAAGCAAGAGATGCTGTGCGGCTCGGATGGGAAGACATACGAAAACGTGTGCCAACTGCGGGCAGCCCAGCGCAGGCTAGGCGAGCGGCAGAAGGTTACTGTGGCGCATCATGGACCCTGCAAAGCAAGTGAGTGTATGATCTATAGTTAAGATGATTGTGAGTTTCAAATGCGTAGTACAAAGTTGTTTTATGTTTAGAAAGAATCATAACAAATCAATAGGGCTCATTATTTAGCAGACAAAGATGTATTACTGTTTTTAACCACATAAAATCTCAGGCTTATTATATACTAGGGCTTATTATTCAGTAATTACATAGAAAACAAAGCAAACTGCCTGAGTTATTCCTAATTTATATGAGTGAGCAGTAGGAGTCTGGATCTAGTGGTGAGTCCTGGCCATTTAAGGGTTTAAAACTGGTTTTCAAAAGCCTTCATCCAGCTTGTTCAAATACCATCAACAATAAAATAAGCTAAGAATAAATTTATAATTAACAGCTTGGCACCATTTAGAGAGCTTTCATACTCTCATATAGTCCAAATATCTTCATGAAAACTACAAGCAGTAATGTGCTTTTGCAAATGAACTGCATTTTTTTACTAATTAAAACTTGTTGCATGTGAGAGAAGCTTGACACGTCCTTTGTTTTGTCAAGCTTTCATACTTCCTACCACTGTAGCAGTAATTTAAAACATGGCTGATTATATATCCTATTTTATTTGTAATTAATTTGCAATTTGACTAATCTCTAATGTTTAGAATAGTTAGCTCCACATGTAGCCTGATTGTTCTTCAAATTTTTGAGCGAGGCCTCATAAGCAACATAAAGCACAGATAACAAAGCTGCAGTATGGCTGGCTGTTTAGGTTAATGGAGATACATAAGCTGTACAGTGACCCCAATACGCTAAACTTGTGAGACTGATGAATGTAAATGCTAAAAGCGCATTTGTCTCTATTGTATGAATCTATGTATAGCTTGCAAGAGTAGCCGTGCAGTCCCTCAGATTTCTCATGTCCTGTGAGTAATTCTGCCTCTTTGCTGACATCGATTTTTGTGAAATGATAGAGTGCTCACTTAGCACCAGGGAGACCAGAGCCTGATTTTGGTGTGTATTTATAAAGCAGTGTTAACCACAGATATCTGTCTTCTGTTAACTCTGCAGAACCAATCATCACCTATGCCCCACGTGACATCATCACTCTGGAGGGAAGTGATGTCCTCCTTTCCTGTGAGGTTTCATCGTACCCTCTGGCGTCCATACAGTGGAGGAAAGAGGGGGACAGCGTCTTCCTTACTTCTGATGATTCCAGCAGAGCCATACAGGTATGTGCACACACGTCCCATTAATCCTTCACATAATGCTTTGTAAATGCATTTATAAGGCATTATATGGCATACATGATACCTTAAAATACTTGGCATAAGCCTGTATCATTGCTCAGAAGTAGTTATAATTATATATGTTTTATACTTCATAAAGCAAGAGAATATGGTAATAATATTATAATATAAAGTAAACCTGACTGTTGTAATGCACTACAAGATTCTGGTATATTTTCTGTTTAGCATCCAGGCCCATCATAACACTTGTTACAAACTTAGTTGAAATGGACCAACACTCTGTGACATGCACCTGAGTATTTTTGTAATATTCTTCAATAAAAACTTTTACATGTAATGTGAATTTAATAGAGTATTTTTTTAGTTAACTGGTCATGATTTTTTAACTAGACAATATCATGCTAATTATTTTAGATATTGCCAAGGCCTACTTACAGTGTCTTAATTCTGCACAATTCATTGTTTGTTAATTATGTTTCCAACGTAGCCCCATTATTATTATGCAGACAATTTCTTTTGTAACAAAATCTGTTGGAGCAAAACCTATGTACCTCTGAAATAGTAACTTTACTTAGCCATATGCAAATGTTTGTGTGCCCCAACATGTTTTGTTGATTGTCGTGAAAATAAGCTGACACATCCACTACAGAAAATACAGCTCTGCACATTTCAATGCACAATTACTGTTTATTTGCTGAATTTAACATACTGGAGAAAAATATAATGTAAAGTATGGCCCGTGCAAAAGTTACACCACAATTTATATTTTATGTTTTATTTTTTTCCAATATGTTAATCTCTGCAAATAAATAGAAATTGTGCCCCAAAATTGCACAAAAATGTCACTGTTCCCAGTACAGGATGTGTTAACTTATTTTCACTTAGAAAATCAAGAAAAACTTTCATTTGACTGGGGGTGATCAAAAAATGCATACCACTGCAGATGAAGAAAAATGTTTTTAACTTTAATGTTTGTTAATGTAAACAGATATAACATAAGATAATTATGAGCCATTACTATTGGTATATTGTTGTCATGACGTGTTCACACACTCTAAAGGGCAGTTGACATTTTGAAATAATGTAAAAAAAATTGTGAATTTTTGATCTGAAAATGACAAAATCAGCTTTCTAAAAATTTAAGATGCTCCAGAGGAGTTTTTATGAGTGTTTTGATAAATCCAGACATGCACATGATCCGACCAATGTATGTAGGCCAGTATTTAATTAAGTTATATTAAAGGTTCTATAATGTATTTTAAATACATTGCAGTTTCAATACATCACAAATGCTATATAGGTATTTTGATTAGGCATGTACCAGTATAAGAATTTAACACTGATTAGCTAACCTTGTATCACGGTGTGAGATATATTATCAGCATATTTTCTTAATGTTGTATATACATAAAGCATCCTGAATGTAATTTTAATAGCAATAATGTGTTGATGGTTACATTTTGGGGATTCCTGTCTTTGAAAAAAAAAATGTATAATTTAATTTCTGGAATCCTGCTTGAATACTCGTCTTAATGGGTATCACGTGTTTTCCCCTTTATTTAATTATTATTATTATTTTTTTTTTTGGGCTGGTGGTAGACCCTTTGGCTAGCGTACCAAATATAAAAGGATAGCACTGCAACCTTTACTATGAGCTGTACAAACATGAAGTATAACATGAGATTACAATGTGACAGCACAGTAAAACCTTGTGAAACCAAAGCTATTATGTATAGCATATTACAGCATGTCCACGACAACAATATCATGATTGTTGAATATTGTGGAATACCTAATTAATGAGTATCGGCACATTCTTTTTATGGACATATTGCAGTCTATCACAGTTGCAATATGTAGCAATAAAATCACAATATAGTATTCTGTCCATATCATGCCCTACAAGACATGCTGTAATGTATCCATGTCTTGTAATTAAGGGTGAGTTATTACACAAAGCTAGCTACTAAGTGTTATTTGTGACACTGTTGCGTCCTCACAGCAAGTTGAACGAGAAATGTACTCATGCAGCGACACAGCCAGAGATTCACATAGACAGTGGATGATTGCTTTTCTGTGTAATTACAGGCGCGCGGAGGCCCGCGGCGCTTTGAGCTCACCGGCTGGCTCCAGATCCACGGGGTCGGCCCTGACGATGCAGGGGTGTACACATGTGCCGCCAGGAACGCCTTCGGTGAGGTGTCTGCCTCCGCTAGATTACGGGTTATGCACAGAGGTATGTCTGATACACACACTCATGCACACAGCCGTTAGCAAACAGTGTCAGAGGTCAACTGCCTGAGAAAACAGACATTTACAGCTTGGTCTCCCACACTTACATGTAGAAAAACATTCTCAAACACAGTCTCTCTCTGTACACTCTTGGTGGGCTAACCTAAATCTAAATAAGCATTTCTCATGAGGACCTTTGTTTTTAATGATACATCTTAAAATAAAATGAAAGATTAGTCTCTCATTTAACAGAATCAAGGAAGTTATATTTACTTAAAAAGAAAAAACTGAAACAAAGAACAGTAAAGATGAAAAGTCTTATACCCTTTCAGCTCACTTGTGTTCCCATAAGTCCAGTCAGTGTTTAATTTCAGAAAAAAATGATGAATTGTAATAATTGATGATCTTAATAATGAAAAAAATAGTCTTGTATGGATGAATCACAAACCATTGTTATTAAAAATTCCTCATTTTATGTATTTTAGCTGGGATTGTAAGCCAACTAGTTAACTAATTGTAGAGTTTTTAGTCGACAATGATTCTGTTGTTTTACTAAATGCTTTTATTTTGTTATTTATGTATTCTATGTGAGTGCACTTTAAAATTTGTAAAGATGATTCCAAGAAGGTGCAATATAAACTCTGCAAATGGAAGTGCTATAATGTAGGCCTACCACTTTAAAAATGATAAGTGTGTGAAAGCTTCTCGTGCTAAATTATAGCTGACCATGCAAGTTTTACTAACATTTAATTTAATTTACTCATTAACCTCTGTATATTGAGAATATTATTATCATATTTCTCGTTTTCTTTTCTGTCTCACATTCTCATAAATATCTCAAACTGAAAGAATTATATCGGCTCATAACAGTAATAGAAACGTATGTTTGCACCATTTTTTTTTACTAATCTGATTTTTCCCTTTTTTTCACATTAAAAGTGCAAGTAGGCCTATGGGGTATGTGGGCTTATTGCAGGCTTTTCATCTTCACACTACCATTCAGAAAATTGCAATTTCTTGTCAAAATAATAATTTTTGTTATTTCATTAACAATAATAAATTTTATATATATTTTTTCATTCAGTCTTATTTAACAGCAGAACGTGATAAATAAAGTAATTTATTTAAAAGTAATTTTACACACACATTCAAGATAAGATAATAATAAGAGTGATTCTGGATTTTACTATTAATGTGTTCATGGTGCTGTACAGCTTTCACAGTGTGTCTAAAGTCATCTAAAGGTCAGTTCGTCATTGTGGACACATCTGTTTCTTGTGTTAAACTCCATTTTTGTTTTTTTTTTTCATGATGAATGGATCAATAGCAATGGTCTGAAATAAAATCTTGTGATATTCATGTATGTTAAAATAATGAACCTTTTTTTTTTTTTAAAGTTACAAAATGTTTTTACATGTGTTACCATTTTCCAGACAAGTTCTCTTGTGACAGCGACAGTATTAGAGGACTAGCAAATTAGAACCATTTTATAAATTTATCTGCACTTAAATTGGTTTTGTATTTTTGAAAACATTGATTCTAAATTTGTACTTACTAACCACAGGTCTAGGTAAAAAAACAAAATACAAAATCCCAACATTAAATATTTTTCCTCTGCTAAAAGCAAATGACAGTGCACAGTGTCTTTTTGCAGCAGTCTCAGTAGCACACTGTGTCCACTCTTTGTGGTCTGCATAATAGTAGACAAAGACATGCATGAGCATCGACAGTGGGGGCCAATCGATTTCGCCCCTAACTATCTGCACCCAGCATCTCCACACCAGAAAAGGTGAACTTGGCTTTCCGAGAAATCCCACAGAACAGCAGATAACTTTACACCAGTCACCGGCTTTCTCTTGAAGGAACGCAGCATTAGTGATGACAGGAGGTCGAGAGAGGATGGAGATGAGGGCGATTTGGACGAGGAGACACAGAGGAAAGAAGTGGGGGGGGTGGAGGGATTTGTGTATTATGTGGCAGGCCTTTGCTGTGACTGTCTGGTTGTTATCTCTTTCTCTGGGGGGTCTGCTCCTCTACTCTGCTTCTCTTATCTGGGCCACAGGCAGACCCCCCCCTCCCGCCCCACTATTTCCCGGAAAGTCCCCTTCGCATTGAACTCTGGGACTGGTGGTGGAGAAAGGTGACTCTGGACACAGTGCAGGCCTCCTCCAATTGGCTGAGCTTTGCCTAAGAAGAGTTTAGGACAAAGTGTAGAAATTCTCAAAAGATGGAATTATATAAATGAAAGAAGGGGTTTTACTATTAGGTTATGCAGAAAAGGCTCGAATGATTCTACTTTGAATCATTTCTGTTGAAAATGCTGTCTGAGAGGCATAGTGCCTTTTTTGGGCACCTGCTATTTTGGTATGTCACTAAATTGTTGTGATTATTTGTGGACATGTGGACATTTTCAAGTTCATCAGGATTTAAATGGTGTGACTGTGCTGGCCATGCTGAGCAATTGTTTTGATTACTAGTGTATTATAACTCTCTTTCAAATCTTCCAGGATCTCCACAAAACAGAGAGCTTCCCAAAAGGAAAAATGAAGCCCACAACACGTCCTTCAATGATGCTGAAAGTGAAGATGATGAAGATTATGAGGGACAACCAAGTGGATATATGTATTTGTAAGATATTGTGATGATCATACAGCAAATCCATTTAACAATGTTTTGTCATCATTTTAGGCCTGTCTGAAAAATAGACTCTTTATAGCATCGCTTTTAAACACTTTTATAACATTTGATGTCTTACTTGAGTAAGTACCTATTGTTTGAGCACTGTAAATAAATACTTATTATATGTTTCTATACTCACTTTCTTCAACTTGATTTTATTTATACAAATGACTCCTAGTTATAATCATTTCAAAACATCAGGTGTGAAACGCTTTCCCCATTTCATATTTTGCTAAAATATGCTAAAAACAAATCAGAACAATAGACTTCTGAGGTTTGATGCCCATCATCAGGTGTGGTAATTAAGTGGCTTTGGTAGTAGTAAGCTACAGTTTTAGACTTACCTTCATGCAACTAGTGAAACAAGATGGAGCATTATCTTGCTTATAGCATGTAAGTTTTTCCACTTACCCTAGATGTAGTCGATCAGCCAAGACACGTTTTGTGTCCAAATTTAGCTTTTTTAGTTTAGCGCTACAGCTACAAAACTAATGTTGTCAGAAAATACTAGAAATCTATAGTCACCCAAATCTTTTCTGTAGATACACCCCCAGACCTTTTCTCAACCCACTTAAACTATGTACAGCTGTTCATTAAGGTTGCGTGATTTCTGTTTTTTCTGTTTTTTCTATTTTACTAAACGTGGAAAGATTTGTGCAAAAGTTGGGGGCACCCCTTTCAAAAAGGTTTTGTAGATTTTAGTTAAAACATCCTCTACAGAGAACATATAACTGCACATTTAAATGCACAATTACTGTTTCTTAGCCGACTTTAACATTTAAAGGAAAAAAAAGAAAGTGTGGCCGGTGCAAAAGTTATGGCACAATTAATATTTTGTGTTCACTTAGTTTTACTTACACAATTAACAAAACATGTTATTTGAGCAGGGCATACAAACTGTTGCATATGACTATATGTTCAGTATTCCGTCATCTTATTCTTGGCCTTATTGTACAGTTTCTTTCAGCCTGTATCAATCATAAGCACCATAATTCATAAAAACTCATTTATGGCAGTTGTGCTTGAGTGAGTGTATATTGTGTGTTTGCATGTGTGTGTGTCTATGCAGCAGCGTCTCTCTTAAAGCTAAAAACAGTACTTTGGTGTGCACTTACACCATGCACCTCCCCTAATGCTGAATAAACCATCAGAGTCTCCATCTCCTTGTCCTACAAGAGACACAGCAGGAGAAAAAAAAGAAAAAAAAGCACCCAGCCCAGGTTAAGTTGTTTGAAAGCTCTGGTATTAAGAGGCGTTTTACACTTAAGAAGTTGGTTTCGCTGGGTTTTCTGTTTCCCTCTCTCGTATTGATTGATACTCAACTATCAATGCATAATAGAAAAGCACTCAGAACAAATGCGGGGTTATGGCCTTGCAGAGAGAGAGCAGCCCAAGCTGTAGCCCAGCGCCATTATTGCCCCATAAAGGATCCCCGGGGACGCACACAGTCCTCTCATCAGCACACACCAAATACCCAATTAAGAAGGAAGACCTTTAAATTCTCCCCTCTTTCCTGGGCAGAAATCAATCAGAATTCAATCTGTTTCGGGCGAGATCCTGACGGTGCAGGTGATAGCTCACCAGCGCTCGGATAGGTGACAACAGCAAAAGGGAGACGGCTGAGCAGGCCGGTGTTAGCTTTCAGCACTGCTGGCTCCTCAGAGAGGGAGAGAGAGAGAGAGACAGAGTGAGAGAGATACAGTGTGAGAAGGCAACACTGTCCTTCTTAAATGCTTATATAACGTTTCAGTGGGCCTTTTATTTTTAGATGCACGTGGCAGGTGAGCTTTTTTTTCATGGCTGGCAGGTAAATGATCCGACTCAAACCTTTAAAATAAACGAATCATTTAAAAATAAGTGGTTCTCAAATTTGTCCACTGAAGAGGTTCATTGAAAGTGAATCTCAAGCTAAAATGTCATGCTTTTATTCTCCAAAGGATGTTTGTTAATGAATGGAGAGAAAGAGAGAGAGAGTCTATATATGCATGTGTATGTGTGAGCGAGAGTGAGCGAGCCTGAGAGAAAGGCACAGAGAGGGAGGTAATGGATGGAGAGACCAAACAGAGGGGGGGAGAGAGAATGCAATTAAAAGATGATTCATTCTCACTTCCATGTAACTGTATCTGTGGATATTAGAGTGGACACTCTTTCTCAGGGCAGTGTTTGGCTGAAGCTAAAGCTCTCCCCTGGCCCTCTTCCTCAAAGCCAGCTTAATGACTCCCTCCCCGATGCTGTTGGGATCAGAGGCGCATGGGCAGCAGCGCCTGCTGCCCTTGTCCAGTAACACCATGTGCAGGGGTCAGCCAGGGCCAAAGGTCATGGGCAGAAGGCTGCTATTAATGGACATCTGAATAAAGTGCAGGGTTCAGTTACCCACTGTTCAGCTTGACCCTTCACGCACACTCTATTTTAAACACCACTCACTTTACTTTCACACGAAAGAAAAACTGTGGGAGAAAGCAAAAAGTTCATTCTGATGTTTAAGTTTAGTCTGTGATGTTACTACCAACCATAATAATGAACGGGGCTGTTTGTGGAGTAAAATCTCAAATGGTAGGCAGTAGTGTTAGTGTTTGAATGATTTTGGACTCAGAAATCAGGATTTGATAGAATTTTTGATATATTGTATGTGTTAAAATGTCTTAATTTTAATGATATAATCACTTTGTACAGAGGTCTAGTTCTATAAAACACAGATTGGTTTGGCTCAAAAATACAGGTTTTATTTCAAAACCAAAGATTGACAAGAAGCATTTTCTGTAAGATAACATGTATTTACAAAATAATCATTTTATAGGAGAATTTAAAAATGCTAAGCAAATGTAAAGAGTGAATTTGGAGCATTTCTATTGGTCCATTCATTATGAAAGTTTCATAAGATACAAAGGAGAGCTGCTGTGTTCAAATGTTGCAGAAAAATAAAAATCAACAAAAATGGAGATGCATATATGTGTGGACAGTGACAATATACAGGATGTTCTCTGATGTCTAGTTTTGATGACTTTCCTCAAAACACAAGACCCTTGAATGCTCTTTTTTTCAGTTTTTCATACTGTACTGACAAGAAGTAAACATGTTTTAGCTGAGTGAGTAAAAAATAAATAAATAAATCAACCAACCTGAGTAGTGGTAAAAACACGATAGAACTGCAGTGGAAATGCTTAGTACATCTAAATTTTTTAGGTGCTATTTGTCTCTTTTTAGGATCTTTTTGGTATAAATCCAGTCCTGGAGCTGAACCAACTGATTGCAATTAAGTTTAACACACAAAAAAGTAATTTGTAACTTAACCTTTTACATTACATACTTATTATTCAATAACTACAGGGATTTCGGTGCAGATGAGTTATTCATAGAAGCATGTAATGGAACTTTGGACCTGCTGGTGGGTCATGGCCTTTTAAGGGGTTAATTTGATTGGCAAAGGTGGAACTAAGTAAAAAAAAAGTAGATTTCTTTCCTCACAAACTGTATCTTCAAATAGAATTAAAGGTATGATCATATTTATTATCAGTATTATTAGAGAAGTGCAAATCCATCAAACATGTAACAAAATAATTGGAACTAATTACAGCCCACCTCTGATGGTAGCCAGTGTGATGTATCCAGGTCTAAATGCACTGAGTGGACAGTGTGAGAGGGAAATGTTGAGGCTACAGAATGCTGGAAAAACAGCGTATTTAATGAACCCATCCAGACAGTCTATGAAGGGCATTTTAATATGCACTGGTCGATGGACTACATTGTGAATATACACAGGAGAGATGGACAGAGCTGATATTGACTGCTGATCCTGACAGCCTCTACAGAGCTGCCAGCTAGTTACTGAGCTGATTTTGATGTTTTATGGAGCATTTCTGGAAGTTCATGACTGCTGGAACTATTTATATTAAGTCAGTTCTTTTGTGTTTTTAGCAGGTGGGGGTTGACTCGATTTTAGTATAAGGATAAAAGATAAAGCAGCTTGTTATCTAGGTCTATGTCTTTGAAAAAATCCCTCACATTTTAAACTGACAAATGGTACTGTTTACAACCCACTATTGGGAAGGTAATTTATTTAATTTATTAACTATATATGCAGTCTTATGCAGAAGTTTGAGCACCCCTTGTGGTGACATTTTTTTTTTGTTGATTGTCTAATCTGAACATAAGTACCTTCTCTATAGAGAACACTAATTCACAATTGGTATTTATTTGAGGAAATTAACTTTGGGAAAGAAACAATAAAATGTGGCCTGTGCAAAAGCGATGGATGTTTATGTTTTATGTTTTGTTCTTTTCCATTAAAAAACCATGAGTTTTCATGAGTTATGAAATATAATATAATATATAATGATAATATATATACACTATTTGCTTTTATTATAGCTATCATTCTTTTTGGGAGACTCATGATATAAGTAATCCCAAACACACTGAGTAATGTTGAGGTCCTGGCTCTAGGGTCAACAGTCTAAATATATATATACACATACAGGGTGTCCCAAAAAAATTGACATCATTTCGTAGTCTAATAACATAGCCAATTCTCCCTCAAATGATCTCAAATTTTAACAAAATGTGTAAAAACTAACCAAGTTGGATTTTTTATGTTTTCAGGTTGAAGAATGCTATTCACTAGAAATGAAAAGGCATTTTGTGTGTTAGAATATGCTCAGAGTGTGCAGCATGCATTTTTGAGAAAATTCAATAAAAATGCACCAACTGGAAAGCAGATTTGGACATGGCACAAAAAATTCAAAGAGGAAGGCTGTCTGTGCAGGGCAAAGGGATACTATCGGAATATACTACATTTGTGAAGCTTTGTGAAATCGGTTATAAAATCTACATCCCTCTGAAATTCTTGTTTGAATTTTGATAAATAAATCTTGTATTGTTCAACATGAAGCCTATTTCATTTTGTTTGTCTATATATATATATATATATATATACACACAGCTAGTTATTATGTATTATGTAGCTTTTCCTTTTTGTAGCTGGCTGAGTGGTGGGGCTTAATGTTGTTTTGTGCCTTCCCAAAGTGTGAAGATCTATCAGTTTTTTATGTGGACCAGATTTTTGTCTTTCAAAGTCCAATGCTGTTGCTCAAGTATGTATTATTGTAGTGTTTGTTGGCTTTGTACTCATGTTTTC